ATCCATTTTTTAAAAATATCAGTAACATTTTTTTCTTTTGTTTTCTCATTTTTATTAATTCTTTGAGGATTTCATATAATATAATCTGCTTAAGTTCATTCTCCCTCCCCTACTCCTCCAAGATCCAAACCCCTTTCTCTACCTGCCCAATTTGGGTCCTTTTTTTCTTTTTAAAAACCCATTGATGATTACTTTCCTCACCGAGTAGTATGCATAGCACCTTCCAGCACTTTGAAATCCAGCCTGTCAGTAGCACTTTAAAATTGACTTGCTTTGTTCCTTATTTCTTTAATTCTCTGTGTTAGACTATTAGTGTTAAAAGTGCAGAGGGCCTTCCTGTCTTTGTCATTGTCATATCCCCCAGAGCTTCTGGCCAATAGCAGATTACTGAAAAGTAATTATCAAACTAATCAGCGCCAACCACTGCTTCATACTCAGCAAATGTTCTGTTCCTGCCTCAAAGTCTGCAGCTGTGTTGTCAGAACCGAACATCACAACCAATTGAAATTTCTGCTGTAGAGTGTAGCACCAAGCTTCTTTTACTATCCTGGACCTGTAAAGTGCTATTTCTGGAAATGCCCATTGACATAGGCAAGGTGTCTTAGGGAAATTGTGGACAAACAGAGAGTTTTTCCCTGGAAGGCCATGGAGGTGTCGTTTACCTCCAATTTAGAGAATTGGGAAAGGGGAGTGGGGAAGCAGGTCTTTTGGCAAATCATAGTTTGTTACAATCGGTAGAATAAAATAACTAGAAATTTTTACAGTTATAGCTCATGCAGTTTTATTGTCTGAAAATTTATGTAAAATAAAGACGTTTACAAATGAATTTGAAACTAATATAAGGAAAGAGACAGTCTCTGGCCAGAAGTCATATCATGAACATGAACCTGATGTTTATTTTTCTTGATGCTTTGAGACAAGGACAGTGTAAATGAGACAGGTTGAGGACCTGTTTAGAACAGTAGGGTTTGTTTACAGTGTTACTGAGTGAATACCTGGTTTGTAATGAACTATAAATTGTATCACTCTATTTCCATATGTCCATAAAACCTATGATGATGTCCACAACACAAAAAATAAGTAGATAGTGAGGAAATATGTCCAGTCTCAGAAAATATGAGCTTTGGAGTCATAGAACTCTGACATGGGAGACATGAGACACAAACAGCACTTGGCACATGGTAGACTCCTCTGTTTCTAACAATGAAAGACTGTTTTTGAAGCCTTTTTTTAATTCAAACAAAGGAATCAAATTCCCCAATATTGATATTAGATAATATGATTAATCAAAATTAATAGACACATTAATATTATTTTTCAAGTCATCTCATCAGATAATGGACCCTTTCTGGAAGGTTTCTTGGGAAAACAAGGATGGTCAATCCCAGGATTCAATGACATTTTTGAAACTACTTTTGAACATGGAATGGTGGCACATTCTGTCATTTCAGTACTCTGAAGGCCAGTATGGGGAGATTGTGAGTTTGAGCTACATAGCAAGACCCACTCAACTATTTCAAGTAAATATTTTGGGTGCTGGGGATGTAGCTCAGTGGTAGAGCACTTACCTGGTATGCACTGGATCCTGTGTTGAGCTGAATTTGATAGCCTTCTAAATCCTTCCCTATACTACATCATATTTTAATTTGTGTATCATCAGATTGTATTCAAATGATTCAATAGTTTAAAATACTTTAAATACTTTCTATGCCAGGAGTCAAAACCAAAAATAAAGAATATGCAATCTATTGTTAAAAAGTAATGCCTAAGCTAGGTGCAGTTGCACATGCATTTAGTTCCAGCACTTGGGAGGCAAAGGCAGGCAGGACCTCTTTGAGATGGAGCCCAGCCTGATCTACATATCATGTTCCAGGTCATCTGGAGCTACAGGGAGACCCTGTCTAAAAAATACAAACACTAAATAAATAATGACTAAACTATATTATGTTTCTGCTTGTTAACATGTGTGTGTGTTAACTGTCTAATTTAGCTGCTGCGTTTACCCTGCTATTAGCAAGACACTGAGCCATGTGATCATTATGTAGAAATTTATTATCGGTGTTGTTTTGTTATTGACTCCAGTCATACCTCCAAGATACACAGTGGAACTGGCGTGTGGTTTTGGAGCCACCGTCTTTCTAGTCGTGATTCTCATTGTGGTTTACCATGTGTACTGGCTGGAGATGGTCCTCTTTTACCGGGCTCATTTTGGAACAGATGAAACAATTCTTGGTAAGTAATGCAAGTTTAATGTAAATCTCTTCTATTGCCATCTTTAGAAAGCACATTCTCTTGATAAAGGCTGCATTAACTGGAGTATTTAATCTGGCTATCTTTTATTTCAGCTCTTACTATTAAAATCTTTTCCATGTGTAGTGGAACACACTACTTTCTGATAGTAATATATGACTTAATCTACATTAGCACTCTCTATAGAGAAAATGTAATGTGTATGAAATTTAAATCTTTTCTAGTAGTTAAAAAGACACAAATGAAAATTAAGATTTGACTCAAGAGTCTCATATTGTTATTTCATCATGAAATTGATATTAAAATGTTAATGAGCTATTTTGAAGTCTTTTGGGACCTGAACATGCTGAAAATTCAGACTGGTACTTTGTAGTCATAGCACATCTCTGTTCAGGACAGCTGCATTCAAATGGCCAACAGGCATGTGATTCTTGGCTATGAGACAGGACAGTTGCAAGTTCACACTCTTGTTTTGCTTTGTTTTGTCTTTTGTGTTTTAACACAGAGTCTCGTTATATATACAGGCTGACCTCAATCCTGAGTGCTGGTCTTACAGATATGCCACCATGTCCATCATGTAGGTTCACACCCTGCACTCAAGGGGAATGCCCATGTAGCAGCAGCAGCATCCCAAAGCTCATTAGATGGAGACTTTTAAAGCCCTCTCATCTGGACCCAACCACTTTAACAGTACTGCCAAGTGATTCATTTGTGCATTAAAGTTTGTCTTTTTGATTTGTGCGTGGTGGCACATGCGTTTGGTCCCAGCCCTCCAGAGGCACAGGCAGGCAGAGCTCTGTGAGATGGAGGCTAGCCTGATCTATACAATGAGCTTCAGACCAGTGGGGGCTCCAGGGAGACCCTGTCTTAAAACAACAACAGCAATAACAAAATGATCTTATTATTTCAGCTCTTACTATTCAAAAATATCTATACATTGGAACGTGTATTATTCCTAGCTGAAATTTTCTTGGCAATATGAATGAGACATACACTGAGGAAAAAACAACCAAACAAGCCATTCCATGAGGATTCTAATTCAATAGGCTTTTTGGAAGCAGCACATAATCCATATTTTTAATGGCTCATGAATATAATTAAGAAAATTTAGGAAAAATCAATGTATTGAATCTAAACATAATTTAATTCTAGTTCTTTTCATGTATAATTTAGGCAGCTTCAACAAATCTTGATCAATTTAGAATTCTAATGTATTAACAAGTAGTTTTCTAGAAAAGGGAGTAGAAATTTTCTGCCTGGCATTAACTGTTGGCTCCTGTGGCCTCTATCCTTGATCTGTTCATTCACAGTTGGATATGTCAGCCTCAGTCTTTGGCTACTGCTGACTCAACTCCTATAGCCATTTTCCTGGATACCAGAAAAAAAAAATCACACTGGAGTCTGTCCAATCATCCACACATGAAGAAAATGGAAATTTCTGATACTTATAAGTTAGATTCCAGTAAAATAACAGTTTGATAAATTCTAATTTGTTCTGTGTTCCTACACTAGATGGAAAGGAGTATGACATTTATGTTTCCTATGCAAGAAATGCCGAAGAAGAGGAGTTTGTGCTACTGACACTCCGTGGAGTTTTGGAGAATGAATTTGGATACAAGCTGTGCATCTTTGACCGAGACAGTCTGCCTGGGGGAAGTAGGTATATCCAAGGAGCACTGATGCTACCCTGAAAGGCAAAGGGGATTCTGAGTTGTCAAACATGCATGAGATGATTGATCTGTATTGGTCTTTGGATTTTTAATGTCTAATTCTTTGAAGTAAAGGTGACAGCTCTAGAAATATAGCTACATTGTAATATGTATTCAGCTCAACTCAGTTTATGCTATTAAATATTCCCTTGTAATCTTCAAGAACTCCAAATAAGAAAAATATGGGCACACACAGTGGATCAGAGTGCAGATGCCACACTTTGAACGTCTGTTCATCTTTAGAAGTTTTAGACTGATCAGTAGTAGTTTGCCCACAGGTTATTTTTGCTTTGGGGGGTTTTGTTGTTGCTTTCTTTCTCTTTCTTTCTTTCTTTCTTTCTTTCTTTCTTTCTTTCTTTCTTTCTTTCTTTCTTTCTTTCAATGATTGAGTTTAGAAAATGTTTCTTTTCAAAGACTGAGGTTTATTCAATTTAACTAAAACTGAGTTGCAGAAAAGGCTTTGACTGTTTCTTTAGATACTAATAATACATAATTCCACTTTGCCTTCACTTTCCCTCCTTCTTATTTTCTAGCAGTTAGTGTGACTCTAATCCCCATTTTCATTGGTCTGTTTCTTTTTTATCACTATATACATTTATTGGATTTATAATTTTAAAATTTACAAGGCCATTTAATTCTAGTAGGTTTTAAGAAGAAAAGTGCCAGTTGCTGAATATTTTTAAAATAAAAGCATGCCTTCACTTTTAAGTACAAATAGTAGCACACAAAGTCATAGTTCATTGGGGTGTTTTAGACACATAGTATCAAGTGATCAATCTCCTGTGAATGTCTCATCTTTGAAATTAACCTCCTGCCTCTAATCTGGAGCATGACAATGTTAGTTTCTTCCTTGGAATATCATTCACATTAACCATCGTTAGTATGATTTTTAAATATGTTGATAATTGAGACATAGATTATACATAATTTTCATTTTGAGTTAGTTCATCTGTTGTTTTATCTCCCTAGGCATCACTCAAAGCTCATATAGAGAGAATATCTCCTTTAGTGTCATTTTGTCATGAAATGATGATTTGCATAGTTAAAGGAAAGATTTGACTCATTTTAATACTTAATTCACCCATATCAGTCAAGTATCTATTCATTCACATAGGCAATCAGAATATCTTATCTATTATGTGAAAAGTGATTAAAGATACACAGTATACATCTGGGTAAGACTGTCCACCAGGGGCTGATATTTCTTTGAAGAACTCCAGCTATGCACAGTTACTCTTGCATTTGCTTTTAATGGTAGGTCTTATATCCATTTGGATTCTTCCATCACTCCTCTTCAGGTTTCCTTGCCTCTGTTTCTCCTCTCCCTGCTTCTGTATGTGGTCAGCCGCCAGTGGAAATGCCTGGAACAGACATGCACCCATTCTTGGATTCTCCTCCAGGCTGCTCACATTAGATTTTAATTGGCAAGTCTTTCCCTGTTACTTCTGTACCTGTGAAGATTAAGGTTCAAAACGACTGCTGAGGGGAGCGTGGCAGGCTGTGATACAGGTTTCCACAGCTCCAGTGTATTACCTGAAGCTGGCAGCTATCTCTGCTTCAGGTGAAGGATTATGTAGTTCTCCCTGAGCATCTGGGAAGAGATAGATTAGACCTAAGAATTTAGTGGCAGGAATTAATCAGAACCTTTGACAACAGAATAAAATTAGACTTCATTTCCATTTTCCTGCCTTCTTTGACTCGAGAAAACACATTTACAGGTTAAAGCAGACATGGCTGCTGGGATGCAGGACTCCCTAGTGATAGTCTTGAGTTTAAGGAGAAAGATCCAGAAACTAGTTTCATCTCCAAAGCACAGGGAAGTAGGGAGGCTAAGTGGGAATCTCTTGATAGCCAAAATGCCTCTTGATTGGCTACATTTTTTATTTAAGTTCCTAACCCAAGGACACAATGACATCAGTTGGAGGCAGGAAAGTATGGCCCATGTGCAAGGTGAGGTTTTCTTGTACTTGACCAGCAGAAAGTGAAATTGGGTGACATGGATTCTGTAGTGCATTTATTAAATGCTTTTCATACTAGATAATTTTTACATGGGCATCTTTGGGGAAGCTAACCTGGTTAGACCACGATATTGTTTGAAGAAACTGATTTCATTATAACATACCTATTCCATGTGGCACAACTAATGCTTTTGAAGACTGAGGTGAAATAGATTGTGTTTGGGCTTCAGATTGTTCAGAACTGATTTTGGAACAAGACATGAACATACAGTTCCAGTTGGGTTAAAGACAAAATTATTCAATGTATAGTTGATAAAAGTGTTACAGTCTTGATTCTCAGGCTTCCGTCCAAAGCTCCCTACCTTTGCTCCCCAAGCACTGTCTTTTGGATAGTTCCTGGCCAACACTAATCCCCATGGTGTTTTCTTTCCCAGTTGTCACAGATGAGACCTTGAGCTTCATTCAGAAAAGCAGACGCCTCCTGGTTGTCCTAAGCCCCAACTACGTGCTCCAGGGAACACAAGCCCTCCTGGAGCTAAAGGCTGGCCTAGAAAATATGGCCTCTCGGGGCAACATCAACGTCATTTTAGTACAGTACAAAGCTGTGAAGGACACGAAGGTGAAAGAACTGAAGAGGGCTAAGACGGTGCTCACGGTCATTAAATGGAAAGGGGAGAAATCCAAGTACCCACAGGGCAGGTTCTGGAAGCAGCTGCAGGTGGCCATGCCAGTGAAGAAAAGTCCCAGGTGGTCTAGCAGTGACAAGCAGGGTCTCTCCTATTCCTCACTGAAAAACATTTGAAAGGGAAACCTAAGGGAGAACACACAGAGGGTGCTCTTGGGATAGAGCCCCCTTCTTCACTCCCAGCCTGTGGCTGCACTGACAAAAAGAAGTCCGTCTAGGCCTTCTAGATGCAGGGCTATATCCCAGCTACTGTATGCATGCCAGTCCTGCTTCTCAGGCAGTACTAAGGGCTTGAGTGATGCTGTCAACAGTCTGTCACCAGTTCCAATGTCATTATGGTCTTTACAAGTAAAGATATGTATGATGTATTCTCCATCCTCGTTCTTCCCTCTATCTCAATCTGCTTGTAAAATCTCAACATTATGGAGTAGCTTTGCCCATAGACCTAAGAGCCAACTTAAGATATGCTCCCTGATGACAATATTATTTCTCGGTAGAGTTTTCCTTTTATTTTATTTTCAGCCATTCATTAAACAGATAATCAGGGCCTAAACTTGTTCTAGCTGAGGACAATTCACTCCTTTGCTTGTTTGTTGACTCCTCCACCTCAGCAAGACTAGCAGTCAAACCTCAGCTCTTCCTCATGACTGATTTAAAGGGCATGCTGTGTTCCTCTTACTAAAAAACATTTGCCCTCATCTCAGGTAATAGATATTACATTTATAAACTTGAAAAAGGCATCATTTTTATCACAGTAACTTCCTGACTGTCTACACATAGATCCATCTTATCCCACCCTCTCCCTATCTACTTTTATCTTTTAGACTTTTCAGGTGGCTCCTCACTTGGTTCAGTCTGAGATGAAGCTTCTAATGGTGCTAATGGAGAGAGAAAACAGCAGAGTGCTTTTAGGGCATAATGACATGCTAGAAGAGCACAGAATTAGATGCTTGCATGCAATTTGTCTTTTAATCCCACTTTTGCTAATGTGACTATACTTCACTGGTTCACACCTCTTCATTATGAAGTGGAATTTGGCAGTAGTAATTTTAGGAACTGCTTTTAGCATTATTACTCTAAAAGAATTAATATTTCCCATAATTAATTCATGAATATGTGTAACACTTTATTTAAAATGAATTACCCTAAAGGTCGCTGCAGGTGAAACTGGGTTTTGATAGTTTTAAGCAAAATTTTACTGCTCATCATTACAAAAGTGAAAACTAAGTACATTTATGTTTAGTGTGGCCAGTATCAGTACTACATCTAGTGTATATATGTATATGTATATGTATATGTGTATATATGTACACATGTCCATAATCTCCAAATATATGTGTGCATATATATGTACCACAAATTAAATATATGTGTGTATGTATATCCATGTGGCCATAAACTATGTGTTTTTATTTGGGGCTATACATATACACACATTGACATATTTAAATAGCCATTTGTATAGTATTACAAACTAGTAGAATTCTTGTCCAGTTTTAAAACTATGATTATAGTATAATGGTTTTGTGTTGGTGTTTTCATCCCATTAGTGTTTGACTTGTGAATTCACAGCTGAGTCACAGTTGTCATAGTTCTTGCCCTCCTACCCTGAATTATAATACATATCGTATTGTTCCTAGAGTTTATCTGGGCTGCATTGGAATCTCTTCTGTACAGAATTTACATATTCACTGTTCAACAGTAGTCAGTCATCTGCTGTTAACAGTTTAGAGACTAAACTGTTCATTTCAGTGCTCAGCTCTGTGGACACTGTTGAATGATAGGGGAAATAATTACAGCTAAAAATAAGTCTAAGCATCCTACAAAACATAACTCATAATTTAAGGAAGTCTTTATCCACGAAGTATGAATTTTAACAAGCAATTCTAAAACTGCCTCCTACATTTAAGTGTCCATAAGTATTGAAGTCTATAATAAATCATTTCTCTGTGTAAGAGCTATTGATTATTTTAAATTTAAAAGGGGTTCCCCCATGAATTCTTGACTACAAAACTGTGGAGTCACTATTGGATCAAACATTTTTAAATGCAATAATTTTTTTTGTTGTTATTTCAAATAAGCTATCATTTCCAGTTCTAATCCTTTAATCACTGTGCCAGAGGAAAGCTGACTGCAGTTAAGCTTCAAATATCCATCCTGACTGATCTTTAGGGAAGTTGTGGCCAGGATTCTCACCTGAGAGCCAGCCGTTCCCTTCCTATACTGCATTCCTTTTGCACTGTTGTATTCTATATGTTTTCCTCCCAACTGCTGTCATATGCCCTTAGAAACGTCTTGATTTTTTTCCTATTTATATTCCCCTTTTACACTTAGCTTAACCCAGTGCTATAATATAAAGCGTATCAAATCCATGTAATATTTCATTGTAAGAGAACTTAAAGATTCTTGTTTGTGTTCTAGAAGATGCCCAGTACAGGACATCTGAGGGCAAAGGAATCACATACTTAAATTTTGGAAAACCAGAAAAAATCATGACTCTTAGGAAGAAATATTCATTGATTTTAGATTTATGATAAAAGGAACTTCTTAACCCAGGTTAACAAAGAAACATGCTATATAGAGTGTCTACTTATACAGTTCATGAAATTTATTTTGTTTGCTTTTGTATGGTATCTTACATGATTCCCTGGGACTCTAATAAAAAGTAGGAGTATTATGTATTGGCAAACAAAAACATCACTCCACTTGTTAATTGTCCATTTTATTTCCATAGGATATACTACTTTAAGACTATCTTTTTATTTTATTCATGAACACTTGTATTTTCCATTTTTTGTTTGATTTGTATATTTACATATTTTTACAATAAACCATTTATTTTCACCTTTGAGTTTTATTTTGTGCATGTGTTTGATGTCCTTATCTTCATGTTGGGGCTTGAGAAATACTAATAAAAGAATGATTGTACTTATAAAAATAAATGAAATAAGTTATTATATTATAATTATTTTGAGAATTTCATATATGAGTACTATATTTACATCATTTCCACCCCCTCCCCCCACCAACTCCTCCCGTTTCCCACCCTACTCCCTTTGTTTCCTGTCCTCTTTGATTATTGTTTTTACATATACATATAAACACATACACACACATATATACGTAATGATATAATGTACTGAATCCATTTATTAATGCTCACATGTATATGTGTTTAGGGCTGACAACTTAGTATTAGATAACCTATCAGGGAAATGGTCCCTGGAGAAAAATGAGCACCTCTCCCTTAACTTTACTGATTGTCTATAGCTCTTCATTTAGAGGTGGGATTCTGTGATGCTTCCCTCATCCACACTAGCATGAAATGTTAGAATAGTAATAAAAGCATCTTTCTGAGGAAAATCTAAGACAAATGTGATCTTAATATCAAGAACATTTCCTTTGCACTTGAGTAAAAGAATTACTCAAGTACAATGGATTGCCCAATGTTCTGGGGTAGGTTTTGTGTGTGTGTGTGTGTGTGTGTGTGTGTGTGTGTGTGTGTGTGAAGAAAGAAATATAGGAACAGAGAGATAGACAGGCAGAGACTGAGACAGAGGTGCAGACAGGAAGCAAAAACCAGAAGTAGTTATTTCTTTCAAACAAAACCATGTTATTTCTATTTTTATTGTTTTTTAAAAGATTTATTATTTTTATTTACACTGTATGTGTATGTATGCCTGTGTGAAGGTATCCCATATGTGTATGTGCACATGGAGCCTAGAAGAGGATGTCAGATCCCCTGGAACTGGAGTTACAGGCTGTTGTGAACCACCAGATGGTGGGTACTGGGAACTGGACTCAGGTCTCTGGAAGAACAGCAAGAACTCTTAAGCACTTTGCCATCTTTCCAACCTTAAAATGTGATTTGTTTTGTTTCAGCTTCAAAGTCTGGTCATGTACATGCCACACTTACCCTAAGGTTTTCAGTTAACACCAAGACAAGTATTTTGGAATGTGATCCAGAAATTAGAGCAATACATCAATAAATGATAATTTAAGTGAAAAAAAGCTATTACAAATTCTTTTTTTTCTTTTTTAGACAGGGTCTCCCAGCTGGCCTGGAACTAGCTATGGAGGCCAGGCTGGCTTCTCTCACATGGAGATTTGCCTACCTCTGCCTCCCAAGTGCAATAATTTTAGGTGTGCACCACCAAGCCTGGCTCACACATTCCAAATAAAGCAGTGAAAAATATTTGCAAATACATTTCTTTTGAGTTAACAATAGTGAATTCTTTTGCTTCAAAATATTCCTATTTATTTATGTATTTATTCAAAGAATATTTATTGAAACTCTATAACATGCTTTGAATTTGTTATCAGCAAAAACTTTCCTAATGAATTTTCTTAGTGCAAAACAGGCCCAAAAATGTAGAGTTGGGGTGAATGGACCAAAGTTACAAGGAAACAGATTTCTATGTAGAAAACAATAATAGAATTTACTACTTTGGATATACAGGATCCTTCATGACAGGATATATACAAACAAACTTGATCAATTCATATTATATTTATTCATGGATGTTTCACATTGGATATTTGATGACTAGTTGTAAATTTCTTCAACGCCTAAAAATATTAAGGTAGCTCCTAGTGAATATGGGTGAACATTACAAGATCAATATGAGCATTTTGTTAGAATCTATCTGGCCTTGTTAGAATTCTTAAGGCATTTTCTCCAGTCAGCTGTGTGCACAGTTAGGTCCTATACACAAGCAAAGTTCAGAGTATGAAAGACACATTCTGCAACTAATTTACTTTGGTATTTCTTCTTTAATTGTTTAAATTTAACATGTATTAATTTTGTTTGCCTCTGTGGGGTTGTGTGCAAGAGCCTCAGCGTACAAATGGAGATCACAGGACCACTTGCTGGAGTCAGGTCTCCCCTTTCACCCTGTAGGTCCAGGGAATCAAACTAGCTTGCAGGTATCCTTACCTTCTGAGTCATCTCACTGGCCTTGATTACTGTTTCTGCCCAAATGATATAAAATAACTTCAGCAATTGGTCAGGAGACTGTTTCAGAAGGAAAATTTTTCTTAGTTCATTATAAACTAAATACACTGAAAATATAAACCTTATTCTTGTTATGAATTTATTAAGGTATTTTAAAGTTAATATCAAAAATTAATAATATTAAATAAATAATCAGTCTACATATTATTTTAGCATTGCAGCTATTAGACATGTAGTAATGATAATTTGACCATATGTCTATTATCTAGTAGACATTTGCATATAATTTGTTTTATAGACTCATACCTTTGTTTTCATCACATGCAATTTAGAGAAGAATAAACTCAGATTCAAAGAGATTAAGATAAAAATAGAGGTAATGGAAAAGGTAGGATTTCAATTCAGATCCATCTTTTGTATTGGGTGATCTTTTTTTAATGGAAGAGAGGAGGAAAAAGAAGTGGTGGGGAGAGAGAGAGAGAGAGAGAGAGAGAGAGAGAGAGAGAGAGAGAGAGAGAGATTCTTTAGCCAAAAAAAATTACAGTCCTAGTTTTCTTGTAAATGAGTTGTAAATTCCAGGGATATTACAACTTTCAAAAGCAGGAATTTCCTATTGTATTATAGAACTCTGAATCAGAACCATGACTTTAAATCAACTTAGTGCTTCAGAAGAAAACTGATCCCATTGCTCCATAGTCAGACCACATTGCTCTGAGCCAAACTGAACAAACAACCTAATTCATTCATATAACCTTTAGAATAAAACTGATAATTCTCATCCTCAACTATGAAGTGTTAAAAATCTGGGATGTATTTAAAAGCACTGTGAAGTGAAGCCATTTCCTCTTATAGAATGAAATGAGGAGCTTCAGGAAGGCCAAATCCCTCCCGTAAGCACCTCCATTCCTTCTCTGTGTCTGATTCCACCATGCAGATGAGCATTGAACATTGTCTTCTTTCAAGTGAAAACCTCCCACTTTCCTGAAAACTTAGTTAAAATGCATTAATCCAGAAATCCCAAGACAATTAAAATATTCTGAAATGTTTATTTTAAAAAAAACATGTGTATGACTATTCTGCCTCCAAGTATGTTAGTGTATGACATGTATGCAATGCCTAATGGAGGCCAGAAGAGGGCATCAGATCTCTTGGAATTCAAGTAGTCTAAGATTGTTAATTGCCATGGGGGTGCTGGGAACTGAACCCAAATCCTATGGAAAAACAGCCAGTGCTCATAAACACTAAACAATCTCTCCAACTCCAAGATACCTGTTCTGTTTTCATTCATGCTTTCTCCACTGGAAAAAACTTATATTTTCCTAAAGTAACCATTCTGAGATGGTTACACATACTAGTAGAATTTGACTGCATATATTTTCTATGTGAGGCACATGTACACATATGCACATGCACTTTTGAAAAGAACTGAAAATGTAAATTTATCTTTCAACATTGAAACAAAAATTCCAATTTTCCTACAAATTCATGTCAAATCACTCATTAGAAATCATCAGTCTGGGAAGGATCCTAGCTTCCTCATTCTTGTCAAGTTCATAAACAAATTCCCTACAAACTCTCTGTGTGTCTCCACAGGCTGAAAAATGCTGAGACACCCTCAGTGTTGGCTGACATGTGTTTTCAAAATTGTGTGTCACTAAAAGTTACACATGTGGGATTCCTTTTTGTTAAAAACATTGTCTAAATTCTGCATCTCACAATGGATTAAATATTCCATTAAGTTTGAAGAATTTTCCCTGGGACCTGTCTACATCTCCCTCCACAACCATTAGAATGTACTACTTTGCAAGAAATCTTAATTAATTGTTTGGTTCTTAATCACTATGGAGGCTTTTTCCTCTGACTTTTAAGCCACTTATTGCATGAAAGAAAGAGAGAGGAAGGAAGGAAGGAAGGAAGGAAGGAAGGAAGGAAGGAAGGAAGGAAGGAAGGAAGGGAGGGAAAGATTGATGGAGGAAAGGAGGAAGAAAGAAAATCTTCATTGAGAGAGGCCAATTCTGTGTTCAAAAATGTTAAGTACCCAGTTCAAAAATGTGAAGTGGTGATTCCTCCTGCACTTTGCTGATCAAATGTTTTAGACTATTATGTTTATTGCTATTCAAAATATTGTTCTAGAAGACACATATATAAATTAACTATTATTCAAAGAAATGATAAAAGGCAAGTGTTCTTAAAATTATGTCTTGTATGAGATCAGAGAAAAATCCTAGTCATTAATGTAGAGGTAAGAAGAAAACACAGTAACATCCCAATAGCTGCCAAATACTTTAACATTTGAAGCTATCTCATCTAAAACCTCCAGAGAAGCCTTATGGAGAGGAACATTTCAAACAAGAAATAATTTATGAGAAGAAACAAAGTCAGCTGCTTGTAGAGACAGTTCATATAATTTCCATTTCTTGTTTTCCTGGTAAGAGAAGGCTTTAAAAAAAAAAAAGAGAGAGAGAGAGAGAGAACTACTGGAGTGGGAGAGATGTTGCTGTGGGGTGGAGATAAACTCAAATGGTTCTTTTTCTCCCTGGTAGAAAATCCTCCCCAATTATGAGTAGAATGGTATGAGATTGCTGGATTTCTTGACTGGGCAGATTATTTAGCACTGAAATCCTCTATGTTCAAAATCTTGTTAATGTCTGTCCTTTGTGGAATGGACAGGAGTGAACTGGGTATAGGAATGTCTTTCCTAGTTGCTATACTGTCTTTCCATTTTCCTGTAGATACGGTGGAAGCCGTGTTTGATTTCATTCAGAGGAGCCGAAGGATGATCGTTGTGCTGAGCCCAGACTATGTGACAGAAAAAAGCATCAGTATGCTGGAGTTTAAGCTGGGTGTCATGTGCCAGAACTCCATTGCCACCAAGCTCATTGTGGTGGAG